AAACCAAATGAAAAGAAACTGTCACCAAATTGGACTTTGATTACTTTCTGGAGATCTTCCAATACTTAAAAACAAGACACTAATTTAATCATCACAAATGTATCTTCACCAAAACCAGTTGGTTTGATTTTTTCGTTTGAAGAACAGAAATGCAGAGAGAGGTTTATTACTAGAAAACGTGGAGCTTTAAGAGTTTTCTTATAAAATTACAAAAATGGCTGAGTAGCAGCAGTTTAAGAAAAATGAAACTGGTCTTCTCTCTTGCATTTCCTTTAAGTAAAATGAAACAGAGGTGCTTTGCTTACAGACATGTACAGGACTGTAAATGACCTTGCAGTGGCTCTGTGACTACAGTGGATTTCATCGGCAGCATTTGTGTGTATTGCTTAGGCTGATTTTACCTATTTGTCTGTGTTACCTATGGTTTAACTCTCTGTGCATCTGAACTCATCCAAATTCACTGTTCATAGGGACGTGGGAACAGAGACATACAGAATTTGGCTGCTGAGCTGTAAAAGGACATTAAGGGAATGCTTACCTCTCACCACATTTTAATTTAGAAGTGAATGGGCTGGGGTTTGTTGCATTAGTTTTGCTTTTGCTTGGTTAAACAGAAGTGTAATTTGTGAACTGATAACTCTTAAGTTCTCCCAAATGACCTGTTAAGATGGGTAAATACCAGACTTTAATAGTTAAGTATATCATAAATAGCTCCTCCTTTTACCAAATCCATGTAGAGTCCATCTTTATCTGTGCCCCACGGAACGGGCACTGTGTTTCATGTAGGTGACTGTGTGTGGTACAGTCACTCAGACCGCCTTTTTTCATCCACATTGTGCATTTAGCTGCAACTATGGGATCAGAACCATGCACCACGCATCTGCTGCGTGGCCTGAACTAGGTGTTTGAAGCAGGCCAGACCTTTTTTCAGCTGCTTCAACTGGGCAGCCAGTGCTTTCTGCAGTCCTTTAGGAAGTTGGCCAGCTACTATCTCTGCCTTTTTCTTCTCACTTCAGCATGGCTACATTAAGAAAGCCACAGTCCATGTGCTTGCTTCTGACAACCGTCAGGAGCTCTGGAAGATGGAGGTTCTTGTCTCTCTTGCCCTTTTTTAATGCTGAGTCCAATCTGTTCTGGGACAAGATCGACTAGAATGCAAACAAGATAAGGAAAAATTACCTCTTTGTCCTTTAGTTTTATCTGTTGGAGAGAAGGTCATATGGGTAGTGGGTAATAGTGTTGAACATAAAGCTTTTTGTAAAGTACGTGAATGATGTATTGGCATTTTGACAAATCAACAGACATTCTGAGTGCTCTAATAATATTCCTATGGTATTTGTGAATCAAGTTACTAATATTTTAAAATGGGATATTCTTTCTCATTTAAATAAAAAGTTACATTTCCCCTGATCTAAAAGAGGAAAGTCCCATTGCCGTTGTCTCATTTTCCATAGTGTTGTATGTTTGCTTTCTTCTTTCACATATTTTTTCCCCCATTTGTTTCACATATACCTAAAATAAATCACTTGAAATCCATCTCTCTGTTTCCAGTACTATGGATCATTGTTTAATTTTAGACTCCTTTCCTTCCCCCTATATTAAAAAGAATGAGATCCTTCACTAGCTTGGTATGGACAAAGGATTTATTTTTTTTTCCTAATACAAGTTTTCTTCAAACACCAAACCTTTTGAATATCATGAGAGAAAAAAATTCAACTTCCATACATCTGTTTCTCTGTGGTGTATGGTGTGACTCACGTCATGAAGTTTCATTTTAGTTTCAGCTGTAAGCTCATCATACCAAAGGCAGCATTTAAAATCAAAATATGACGTCTTTGCCTGGCACCTATTTGGGCTAAAAATGATGATGAACAGAAATTTTCTGAAAAAAATTAGACCTAAATTTAAAGTATTAAGAAGGATTTACTTTTTATAGATGTCTTTGCTTCTAATTGTCATGGTAACAAAGAATTTGAATATATATACATTGATATGTATGTTTGTCAAATAGGTATTTGCTGATAAAAATGCTGACAATTGTGTTACTAAATGAGAAAATCTCTATGCTCAAAAATAAATAGTTTCTTAAAAAGTTGTGTGACAGTAAAAGGACTCTGTATATTATCACAGGTTTGCATTTCACATACTTGGTTTATAAGGTGAATCTAGTTCTGGCTTGCTATTAATTTATATGTATTTTTTTCTTACTGTATGGGTATAGATAATGCAGGGAAGGATGCAAGTTTTCTTTTAAAACTGTTAGTTTTCAGCTGTGCAGAGGGGCTGTGGGTAGGATGAATTGGCAGTGTCTGTGGCATAGAGCCACAGGAGTAGGACCCATGAGATCTGACTGCTCTACGGGTTTCACCATTAGTCTACCAGGTAGCATGGAGGAATTTGCTTCATAATTCTGCACCTCAACTTTCCCACTTGGAAATAATCATACTGCCCTTATAAAACACTTCACAATTGAACAGTTCTAGGTAAGACAAAGTTATAATAATTTTCTTTTTAAGAGGCTTGCTACTGCGTAGGATATGCAGTCCAGATTAAATGATGAAGCTGTTATCTTTGTGGTATACTGCAGACTACAGGATACATTTCATTTAACATACTCCTTTATTATATATCATACACTCAGCAGTATTTTTTTTACTTTCTCTAAGGAGAAGTGATAGGGAACATAAGAATACAGGAATGGTCTGTAGAGATAAGTGTATTGCAATTTATTCTTGTGTTGCTGACACTGAATACCGGAGCAGATTTACAGGTGGAGTTTGCAGGAAAAAAGTTATTACTGTCCCCATTTGTAAGGAAAACTGGTCCACTGATTTGGACTGTACAACATAATTTAAATTCAGTTTCCCATTCCTTTGGAGGTTTCCCGTATTTCCTGAAGCAGGTCGCTTCTCTTCGCAGTGCAGTACTCCAACTGTAAAGCAGGAGTAATTGTACTTTCCTCAGGAATGTGCAACAGTTGTAAAGTTGGACACGGAGACCTGGTAGGGCACTCTGATACTGTACCTTCAGGGCCACAGAAGTATGGTGGGTAGATGCACAAGGCTTTGGAAAGAGAAGAGAAACTTCTAGAAGTAGGTAAATGAGCTAAAAGCTTAGACTGTCTGTGCCTGGGGTTGGATATTGGAGAAAAACAACTGGGATGAGGCAGACTTTTAGATTTAGAGATTTTTTTTCATTCAGTAATTTCTGACAGGCTGTCTTGTGCTCAATTTTTGTGGCCACTGTCCTGATACATGAAGTTACATGTATGAAATTTGTTTCTAAGCAAAAAAGTCATGCTAAGGTACACGTCATGTTTTTTGAGAAAGAATCAAATGTAAAGGTTAAATTTACTGAAGAAGCATATGGAGAAAAAAGCTCATTTCGTAAAACCAAGCGCTGAGCATTTCCTCAGGAAATCTTTTTAAAATTGCACATTTAACTTGAGAAATACTTTACCAAATAATACCACCTCTGATTCACAACAGTCAAAAGGAACAACTTCTATCCTAAGTAGCAGTCAAATGTTATTTGAATGAGCTGATATACAGTATATTAAATAACAAAGATGCTGACACAGCCTTCACTGTAGTAGTTCTTCTAATTACTGCACTATGCCATGTTATATTATATCACATGGCATAATTTAGTTTATCTTTCTTTGTCATTGTATTACTCATCATTTTACAAATTACAAATCTTTTATAGGAAGGTAATTCAGACTTGGACATAGTGCTAAAATGATGGAGTGTTTTCCTTTTTTGCTCACTCATTGATCTTTCAAACTTTTGCATTTAGCAGTATTAATCATGTTTATTAGCTAAGTGTTGTCATAAAGAATGAAATTTTTCTGTTACTTTCATATTCAATTAAAATGTTTTTGTTTGCTGCCTCTGCTGCATCACAGTAATCTATTTACTTATTCTAATTGAAATTCTTGTTCATAAATTCAAAACAAAGTCAATACTGCAGTTAGGCATTTTCATAACAATCTATAATCTAGTTGAAAATGTGGGTGTATCTGGAAAGAGAGTGTAGTGAAAATATCTTTTGACTATAGCAATGCTTAATCTTACTTTTCAGGTGGCTCGTATTTTGGACCAGATGTATTTTAGAATTCACTAACATGGTCTGCTTAACTGCTGTTTAAAAGGAACTTGTTGTTATTCAAGTGTGTAAGTGTAATACTGAAGAAAACTATGATCTGTAAAATTGCCACAGAAGTCCAAAGAGATACTCTAGACCAAACACAAGTGCTTAGTTTGCTATGCTGTGTTTTTATTGTAGACAGTAATTACTATGCATAATAGATATCTGGACTCTTTAAACTTGAATTCCTGAATACCAATTATTTCCAAGCCTAACCTAGTGCCTGGCTTGTTTAACCTAGCAAAGTGAAGTGTTTCACTTAAGACATCCCCAGGATCAAACCCAGCAGTGGAGGGAAAGCTCTTTAAGCTCAAAGATAACATAGCAGCAGGGTAAATTGTTGGAGCCTGTTCAGGGATGAATTTAAGCTAGAATGCTTGTGAGCATTGGGGGGATTGAATAGCAGAGTGACTCTCCAGTAAGATTAACCGCAGTGAGAGACCTGACAGGCCTGAGGGTGGACATGGATTAGTGTCTGGCAGGGACTGGGTGGCCTGATTCCTTCTGATAGCTGGATATGGTTACTCAATGTCTGAGATGTTCTCTTTATGCCTTATTTACTTAATTGTGACTGATGTTTACTTGGATGATTTTATCCTTAAACATTTAGGTTTTCCTGTTTCCAGAAACGAGTGTTATGAAGGTAGGTGATGCTGAAAGTTTCTAATAATACTTTTTGCCTGGTGTGTATTTATTACTTCATTAAAAAACCTTTAGGTGTCATTTCAGGTGCTGTGTTTGTCCTTGGTGCTTAGCCATGCAAAGAGCATGAGCTTGTTGCTAACCAAGCAAAATGTCCTCTAAAAAAAATGTAGATGCCATTTATGGTTTGTTTGAACCCTGTTTTGCAGGTGGAAGTGAATCCTCCTGGGATAAAGACAAGCTTCAGTCTCCCATTACAACGGGATCACAGCACAGCATTGGTCATCCCACACTGTCAGGGCAGTCGAGCCTGGGAAGTGCACACCCGCTCAGTCCTCTCCAGCAGAATCACCTGCTCACCAACAGTATGTACTGTGCTCTTGGTGGGGGGGGGCGGGCAGGGGGCGGGGAAGTACAAGGAGCCCTGCTTGGAGGCTGGGCTTGCATCCTTCCTAGCATCCAGGAGGTGGGGAGAAGGATGACACACATGAGTGACAGAGGGTCGGTACTCTCACTGTCTGCTGCACTTGCGCATCGTGTCCAAGCCAGCCACTGGGATACAGCCACCCACTGCTGGGTTAGGGACTGTCAGTCATTTCCATGGCCAGGGCTGAAGGGAAAATAGCCATAAAGCTGCTTAAAATTTTAGCTATGTGAAAATATTCTCTTCCAGGTGAAAATAATATTTGATCACCAAATAAAGATACGAGAGTCAGGAATAAATGCAAAATGTCTAGTTACATGCGAGCAGAAGCAGTCCCTCTGCCTTGTTTTGCCTTGTACTTGCCAGGTGTGGGCAAGGTTATCCATTCAACCCATCTATCCAAAGCAAGTAGAACAAAATGACACAGATAAAGTTTGGATTTGGAGGTTAAAGCTCCCTTGAAACCTATCTCTCTTCCGTACCTTAGGAAGGAAACGGGTGTGAAGCCAGCAGTTCCCCTTCTTCTTTGCACCCAAAGAGGGAAGGGTGGGAAAGTTATTCCAAGAAAGATGTCAACGAATAATATTTTAAAAATTAGAGAGAAGTTAATTCTAGCAGATTATGATGGATGAAGAATGAAAGTCTCACTATTTCTGAATTCTTTTTTGTTTGTTCAAGCTCTTCATCTCAAAGTTTTGAAAGTTGATATTTTGTTCTTTTAATGAATGAATGACACAATTTTAGGAACAGATAGTTTTTTGTTGCCTGTGTAGGGCTACAGACTTGACCAAATCAAAGCCATTGAAACGGCTCCTACAATATGGATCTGCTTTGTTCATGGGAAGGTATGGACCTGGGCATTTTGGCTTAAAGTGTCAGTAGTTCAGAATCACTAGATCATAGGATCCAAATTCACTATAGTTTATTCTTTCATTTTAGATTCTTGCATAATTCTATACCTGTATATATTTTGCATGTAGGTATATTGTCTTCTGTGCTGTTACAGAAAACTTTAAAGATATTTTCCAGTAGATTTTGTAGTAGGCAAATGTCTATAGGCTATTAAAGGGTTTATTGAATGTCAGACATTATGTCCAATGATTTGCAAGTGTAGGATGTATTTTCTTCGTAGTCCTCTGAAATGTTTGACGGATTGTGTCTTAAAACTGGTGATGTGCTGTTAAATTCTGTTTGTAGTTTGCATTTAGTTTGCATGTCAATTGGACTTTAAGTAGACATACAACTCAATGTGGCCAGATGGTGTCTGGGAGTTTTGGAACTCTATAGAGTATGAGGAAAGATTATTGGGCTGTTAAGGGAGACATGCAGGGGAACAAAGGCTTATGGATCTAAGCACTGAAGGGGATTGTCAGTATGCTTTAAACTGAACTGAGATGTATGTGGGCTTTGCTTATTACTTATCATAATTAATATTGGCGTGGATCCTCATATAAAGTATATAGTGAATCATAAGACACCACAGTTGTTGATCATGATATACTCAAGCTAAACAGAAATAGTGTGAGAGCTAAGAATAAATACATTTTTGCCTTTGGTGGTGGGCACAGTGGTGTTTTTATATCGCTATAGTCAAATCGTATCGGAATAACATAAGCTATATCAGTCAGTGATATTTTTGTTGTGGGTTCTGTCATATACCCAAATGGTGACTGGTCTTCTCATTTAGAATACTTAAGATAGAGCCAGAAGTTAAAAAACTTTTAGAAATAATTAACATCAATAGCATATGGTTAAGACTAGTTATATGATTATGTTATTCACTACTCGCACCCGAGTTTTTTAATGAGGATTTATAATCTACATTTCATTTAGAAAAATGATGCGACATTTTCTCTGGGTGAATTATTCCTCTTTTTTCTGAAAAAGTAATTTTGGATGCCCAAAGGTAGCTTCACATGGTCTCTTTAATGAATTCTTACATGCAAAATAACCCTAAACAATTTCTTAAGTGACTTGATGTCTTGGTCTTGCTTTCCATTGTAGTCATTACTAAATACAACAAGTCATAGACATGCTGTAACAGATATTAATGAAACATGAGAATCCAATTCTTGCTAGCAGCAACATCACCTTTTTGGCAATGTCAAGATCTTCAAGTTGGTCCAAATGAACTTCATACTTTCTTAAACTGTTTTATATCCATAGCAGAAGACAATTTAAAATGAATGTTTGGAAATTAAAAAATCCTCTCACAACAATTTTAATCTCTTATTACATGTTCCAGTTCACAGACCTTCTGTACAGTAGTTCAGTAGTGTCTGTAGTCCAACCCTCAGGTTCCTGTATTCAAGAAATAGTCATAATATAAAAATCTAGTCTCAGATTGCTGTGCATGTGCTTTAAGAATAGTAAGAGGACTTGGCAGGAGTATATTATCATGTAAAATTATTAATAAATATTTGTTGGATGTACTGGAAAAACATGCAAGTATCTGCATGTTTCGAGGGGTTTTTTTCTTTATTGCTCTTAATAGAGATGACTGAACTTATGCATTGTTGTATATTCATTTTGCTAATACTGTGTTACTTTACAGCTGTATGTTTCTTACATACAGCCTGTTCTGGCATGCAAAGACAATTAATCCCTATGTAACATCAAAATTATTAACACAGTAATACTGAGTTTGACTTATCAATGTTCCAGTAGAATACAGACTCTGAAAATGAAGGTGTTGGGTTGTAAAATGAGGGACCAACACACATAACCTGTCCATGCTCTTTTCTAGGGATAGACCTGCCTTTTATGATGATGCCCCACCCTCTGCTTCCCGTCAGCCTACCTCCTGCTTCGGTTGCAATGGCAATGAATCAGATGAACCACCTCAATACAATAGCTAACATGGCTGCAGCAGCCCAAATGCACAGTCCTCTTTCCAGGGCAGGGGCCTCTGTTATAAAGGTAAGAGTCATATACAAGACTTAAAAAAAAAAAAAGCTTTTCATGGCTAACAAAAACATTTACAGTGACTTTCTTAAGGAAGATAACTAAGAGCTTATACTGCCTATAGCACACCTGGTCTGCTGTTCCTGATAGTGCTTCAGTCTGAGGAAATGCCCATGAGTACAGTCAAAAAGTTAAGATGATCTGCTCTATCTACAAGTCTGTAATGTAATTAAAAACAGATACTCACTAGAGGCTAGGGGAATAACCAGTGCTGCATCTGTGAAAGCTCAAAAGCTACTCTAAAATGTTGTTTAAAATCAAACTTAATGTTATATTTCAAAGAAAATGCTATAGAATGTGACAGAAACTCTAGTGCAGTGCAATTTCAGAACAGGTTAATAGCAGAGAAAATAATCAGAAGTACCTTAGTGAGTACAGTCTCTGCTAGCCACACTAAGTATCCTTCTGGCTGGATAAAAATGGTTTCTACTTTCAAAAGGCTTCTGGGAGTCTCTTCCAAGCAGGTTGTTAAGAAAATTTTATGCCTGTGTTGAGAGCTGCAGAAATGCCACACACTAAAAATATGTTGAGACAAGACAGTTTCAAAGTAGAAGAATACAGGATCAGTGCATGTGAAGGACTGGTGCTCTGGGGTTCTCTAAAACAGTGTCTCCTCTTTTTATTGAGCAAAAACGAAAGGCTTTATGAGTCTTTTATGTGTATTTTCATGCAAGTGCAGGTTTCTTGTTGACAAAATACAATTTTGTCACCTTTGAAAGGTAGTTACTATAATCCATTTATCTTCATTTTTAAATATGTGAGCTCTGTAGAGCTGTCTCTTCTAGGAGGTACAGGTCTGTTCCTTTTGATACTTATGCTCATTTACACTCATGTATCGCCATCAGTCTGGAATCCCAAAGTTCTGAGTTGCTTTATTCTAGTAACTCTTACTGATTTGCTGAATTAATCTCATACCTTTATTGTAAAACAGCATAATTATCAAATTTCATTATTTTATCATGGAGAAAGCTTCTGTTGCCAATATTAAAAGGACCTTTTGTTTCTACATCAAGTAGGGAAA